CCCCGGGGGGGGTTTTCCTTTTGGGGGCCCAAAATTTTTGGGGTCCTTTTTTTTGGGGGGGGGGGCCTTTTCCCCGGTTTTCCAACCAAACCGGGGGGGGGGTTTTTTTTTTTTTTTTAGCCCCCCCCCCCCCCCCCCCCCCCCTCGCTCACGACCATTTGCGAAGGACTTCCAAGGGGCGGCGGAGTGTGCGCTCGCGCAGGTGGTCGGGGGGCGAGATCAGACATGGGAGGGTCTCTTGTCTGGCGCGAAGAGGGGGAAGGGCGGCTCGCCGAAGGTTGTGGTTCGCGCGGAAGAGGTGGCCAACTCAAACGCTCTCGCCGAGATAACTCTGGCCGGCTCTAACCTCGGGTGAGATTTGTCTTTCCACCGTGTTGTTGCTGTTGTTGCTGTTGCTGTTGCTGTTGTTGGTGTTGGTGTTGGTGTTGGTAGAAGTCGTTTGTTGTTGTTGTATTTGTTGTCGTTGTTGTCGGTGTTGTTGTTGTTGTTGTTGGTGATGGTGATGGTGATGGTGTTGTTGTTGTTGTTGTTGTTGCCGTTGCCTTAGTTACCACTTCCCAGAATGCCTCCAGAGCCCGTCCTGATCCATTCAGCAACAACACCCACACATTGGTAACGGTGAACCCAAACCCGAACGCAACCATCGCTTGCAGCAGCAGCAGCAGCAGCAGCAGCGGGACAAGCAGCAACGTCGGTACCGTCAATATATGTGTATCCAGAAGCCTGGGAACTGAAAAAAACATGACGTCACCCCCCCTCCCCCCTCGTCGTTCGCCCCGTGCCCCCAAAAGAAACGGGTCGTTTTTGCGCATCAGCAGATTGGGCGAGCAAGGCCCGCCGATCCCGTGCTTCAAGACCGAAGTAGCTAAGGTTCGTTCAGACTTCTGTTCGTCTTGCTGTTTTTTTTGCAACTGGTGGAACGCACCTATCGTGATTCGAAGTGTAATGTGGGTTATTGAAGCCACCGGCATGCAGCAGTCAGCATGAACGGGATTTTGCCACAGCCTATGAGAGAGGTGTAGACATTTTTGTCTGTTTCGTGGCACCCGTCCACGTGCCAGTGTTGAAACGCCCCATATGCGCGTCTATATGCCGTCAAGTGGCCCAAGGCGGGCAGGTAGGCCATCATTGAGCAGTGTTTCGCGCCAACACCAGCTGTTGGAGGTTGTTCGTGATGAGGCACGGCTTTGATCAAGCTTCAACCTCAACAGCAGAGGCTGTCATGTGTAGTCGGTGGAATGGTGTCTTTTTTTCTTTTCGTTGTTGTTGTCGTTCCAGCTCTCGAGTAGGGTACAAGAACGGTCTTGGAAGCTGTGTCGACATCACGTAGGATGCTCATAGATTAGAGGGCGAATTAGAGTGACGTGTTGGATCGAGGGTTTTATTTTCTCTGGTCCCTCTCCTCCTTCGCCTGCCGCCACCCTAACGACGTCACTCCCCTATCATTACTTCCGATCGTTCAAGTTTGTTTCAGTGATCGTGTGGTGCCCCCTTGTTGGTTGTCCGTCCTCTCGCTTTTTTTTCCTTTCGTGTTGAAAATCTTCGATTTCGCTTTCTCCTTGGCTTCCGAACTTTCCCTTCCTGACTGGCCGTTATGCACGTCTACAGGGGTCCCCTCCAAGACCATGGGCACCAATCAAGATTTCTCTCCAGGTCCTGGCAAACGGTGACCCCTATCGCCCGCTCCTCATCGAGGCTTTCTCCCGGAAAAAGTGAGTATTGCTTCTTCTCGAAAGCATCTCTCTCCCTCCTCTTCCTCCGTTTTTCAACCCTTCCCCCACGGCGATGTTGACCCTCACCACCTGATCTAGTTTTGAGATCAACGCCACAGTTTCTCACCGCCGCCCAACATAGTTCGGAGGTTCGCCCTGCTTCGCACACAGCAAGATCCTGGCTCCATCCAGATCATTTGGTCAACTGCATCGCTTGTCCTCTGCCCTAGCCCGCCTCCATTGCACGCCGAACCCACTTCTTTTTTGGCCTCTTCTCCCTCCCCCCGTCGGTCCCTCACCAGAACAGGGGTTTCTCCCACAGGCCTCCCACCTGCATTTCCACGTGTGCTGCCTCTGTGTTGCACGTTCCGACGACCACACATGCCTACATGTGGTGCTGGTAGTGATTGATGTGTTTCGGGGTTCGTGTTCAACGCGCCCTTGCCGCTGTTGGTGGTGAACCATTTTCGATTTTTTTTCGACAGGTCCGGGAACCACGCTCTGCTTGGGTCCTGCAAGGCTAGCGTTAACGACCTCAAGGTAAGATGTGTGTGGTGGTTTACTCGTTGCCGCGCCGACAGCCTTTGACGTTGTCGGTCTTGGATTGAGCGATGTGACCCTACAGTAGTACGTCGTCCTCGAAGAATAGGTTTCGTCAGTGGTCTGTCTCATATCCCGCTGGATGTTGAAAGCTTTTATCACTGGCGCCGACGAGAGAGGACGTTACGTTGATAACATTTGATGACTTGATTTATCTGCAGGCAGCACCCACATGGTGTCATCTTGAGGTTGATATTCGGAACCGTCATGTATCCCATCTCACGCATAGCATAGCTGCGAACAGCGGAAGCTCATCGGAAGACGGGAAATTCCTGCAACTTGTGTGCAAGTACCGGAGTCATGCCTCACTCCCCCCTTGCCTTGTAGTCGGATTCGTCGAATCGATTGCCTTGTAATTGTTGAGAGCATGGACTATTGTCGCCGTTGCCGTTGTTGTACTTTGAACCTCGTGCTGAGAGAGCGTATGTCTCGCTACATACGTGCTGTTAGTGGCCCTTATGCACTGGTATACGCTGTTATCCTCGTGAGGCTACTTTTTTCTGTTTGGGATCGGTCGGGGAAAATCTGGGATACTTTCACGTGGATACTTTGCAACCGAGTTCAATGATCGATCTGCCTTATAAGGGCATGCTTGTACTTCACCGACAACACCCGTACAACCTGTGGACCTGTGGCACAACGCCACCGTTCCCACAGCGAAAGCAATGCCAACGATCGCATTAGCACGTGTACAGCTCTTGTCCGTATATACCGACCTCCAACGAACACGCTCCCGCTCGACCCTTTTTCGTCTAGTCAAAGGCGGACTCTGGGGTGCAGAACTTGATGCTGGACAAGGGAGAGGGTGCGATAACCGTGAGGTCGTGCATACTCACGCCGCAGCCGAGGTATGTGTTATGCTACGCGTGCGTCTTTCGGGAAACAAAACCATGTCCTTTCAATCTTGTCTCTATGAGCAAAAAGAGCACCTCGTGTTGCCCAGGGGACAGGAGTTCCACTAACGTAATGATAGCTGAAAGCGGGATTTTTGTTAGAGCTTGCAACTTGTGTTGTAGACACGCAGCCTCCCCCCACTCACACACGGAAGCCGAATTTTTCCCCGCCATTTCGGCCCAATGTTTGGGAGGGAGCTATTCTAGGAACTTTCTTTTGGGGGGGGAGGGGGAGACGGGGAGGCTGAAGGGAGGTTGAGGTTGCGGTATACATCTCGTCTGTTTTCTCTCCTTGTTTCCGTCGGGAAAATCGACTTAACTTCATCTCTTCGGTGTTTTTTTGTTTCAATAGAATTGCATCCCGTCCACACCTTGCGCACGCCCCCATCATCTTGGCCGCTGTGTTGCTTCGAGGTACGGCTGACGTGCCGCGTGCCCATGACTGGCCCTGACGATGCAATTACGATGGTCATCACCCGCTCCTAGCAACCGAGCTCGAGTTTTTTTTTTTCCCGTCGAGTGCGCCTACGACCTGTGCCGGTGTTGTCGAGGCGTATGCCGGTGTTTCTCCTCCTTCGGTGCCCTATCTCTTCTCATCATTGTACGTGCCCGTGGCATGAGATTCTCCTGCTGACAAGCATTCCGCCTCTGTTGCCTCCACCCCCTGGTGTTGTTGGTGTTGTTGTTGTTGTTGCTGCTGCTGCTGCTGCGGTCGCAACTCCCTCCTGTCTGTCATCGGTGCATGCGATCGGATCCGATCCCCCCCCCCTCAGTTTCTTCGACTACATCGCGGGGGGCATGCAGATCGCTTTCACTGTGGCCGTCGACTACACGGCGAGCAACGGGGACCCGTCGCAGCCGGGCACGCTGCACTACCACGACCCTACCGGCCGCACCAACAACGAGGTAATAGGTGCTGCTGTGGGTCACGGGGATTTCTCCACAGCGAATGCGCATACAGTATCGCGAAAGACATCCGCCCCCTGTTTTCTTGTTTGGCGTAACGGAGCACTCCGTTCCAGATCGAGCGTTTCGGCGTGTATGGCCTGTTTTGTTGTCATGAGCACCCTGTTCCAGATCGAGCGTATCTACGTGTGTGGCCTGTTTGTTGAGAGCGGTCGTTGCCCGGCGAAGTATGCATACACGAGCACGCACGCAGACGGAGTGCTGGAAATTCGCCGGACGGTGGGGGCCCCTTCAGTTTAGTCTCTTGCGCGGCTCCCCTGGTGTGGGGCTTGAATTTTTTCGCGCTTACTTTCTCGCGCCAAACCTGTGGTTTCTTCCATCGCAAAACACTCCCCTGAAGCCCCCCCCCGGTGTATGTATTTCTCTGTCCATGGGCGTTTTGCTTGGGCTGAGCACCGCGAGCACCTTCCGACAGACACGTCTTTCGTCGCGTTCCACACGTAGCTTGCTGCTTACCTCTTTTTTTGTTTTCGCTCGCATGCTCGAAGGACTAGCAGAGGCATAAGACCCCAAGAACAATCAGAGTTTGTCGTGAGAACCACGGCAGAGGTAGTGAGTGCAGCAGAGGTCAACCGTCCGCCCGTTTGCTCTTTCAGACCCCATTATTCCGCCCCCTTCCCCCGTTGTGT